TTCGCGAAACAGGCATATGGATCGGATGGTGCGATGGAGTTGAGTAGTGTTAGGCCGTGGGCGACGGTTAGGAAGTTGCTGGGCTGCCGGAGACCTTCAAGGTATATCACCTTTTTTGGGTTTATTGCTATGTGTCTTCACGGACGAATGGAGAGTCCAACGTTTTGGCTTGGTATCGTCGGATTTGTGATCATAGCTTATTGTTTGGTGAAGAACGTGAAAGGAGCGATGATCTACGGGATCGTCTTCGTAACGGCCGTTTCGTGGTTCCGTAACACGGAGGTAACGGCGTTTCCGAACACATCGGCCCGTGACGCAGCTCATGATTATTTTAAAAAGATTGTTGATGTACACGTCATCAAACACACCGCCGGAGCTTTAAGCTTCTCCGGGATAAACAAAGGACATTTCTGGGAAGCTCTGGTGACATTCCTCTACGTTGATATTTTGGATACGACATGAACGCTTTACTCAATGGCTAGATTCGCCGGATTCGTTGACGAAAGGAGATTTCGTCGGACAGTATTTCGCGTTTATGTCTGACGCGTCTATGATTATGATCGGATCGTTGCTTGGTACATCTCCGGTGACGGTTTTCATCGAATCGTCGACGGGGATACGTGAAGGAGGAAGGACGGTGTTGGTGTCGGATCCCGCACCAGAAGTACGAGACCAACCAAAGATTGCCACGTAATCAGGATAACGGCCCGTAAAGGATGAAGCCCATTGGATCCGCGAGCCGAAGGGATGGTCGAAGTGGTTGTCACCATTTAGATAATCCGAAGTGACTGCACTGTGACGCGAGTTCGGTGTAGAAGACACGGGTAAGTCGGTTCAAAGACATTTGGGCCAGAAGAGGCGAGGCCCATGAAGATCAGAGTCAACTCAAATTCAAACGTTGAGCATTAAAGCCGAAGAATCAAAACGGACACATTTAAGAAGAAATAATTGCACTTAATTACTCATTTTAAATGTCGTTTAGCTATGTATAAATATAAAGGCCAATGGCCATGTAAAGGGCATCTTCCTCTCAAGAGAGAAATACTATAGCAATTTTCGTATCAATTTACAAGTTTTTACGTATTCATTTTTTGTCCCTCAAGAATAATCTTTCCCACCTAACAAAATACTTGAGTGTGTGAATCCGACATCCACATTTTGGCGCCGTCTGTGGGGAACATCAGGATTCTTGAGTGGTCAGATTTCTTCTTTTCTACATTTCCGAGATAAGCGACAATGTCCGGAGGAGACGCCGTTGAGACATCATTGGCCGAAACCCTCAAAGCTATGCAGCAAACCATGTCGGACATATCACAAAATGAGGGAAG